ACTTTAACTTTTACCAAAGTGTTTTTTTGATAAGATACTTGTATTTTTACTCAAGTATCACTTTGAGGTACTTTATACAACACTGTTTCCTTTGCACAGTAAAGTACTATATGAGCATGTTGTTGTGTCAACTGTTGTCATGCTGGTCCACATGGTGGCAGATGGAAACAGGAGCCCCAGGTTACATTATCCTGCTGAAATAAAAAAAAATCTGTTATTTTAAACAGTTAATCTGAATATATTATCTTTAACATCAACAAAATGTTTTCAACAGTGTAACTTCAGCATTTTTTAATAGTTCTTAAATTTTATAAGAACATGTGTTTCTTTCAGATGTTCTAATTAATTTAAGGTAGACATTTACATAAAAAGTAACTTTATTTGAAATAAAAAGTGTTCACTCACAGTTCTGTGCTGATGTTATTTATAGAAATAAGCCAAAGGGTTAAAGTTTTGTCTCTGACAGTACAGGATTGTTTGAACCACATACATTTGTCCCACATCCAGTAGGAACTCTCCAGTTGCTCCAGTGTTGCCACAACAAAAGGTGAAGAAGTGAAAGAGCTGCTGGTTGGACCTGCTCTGTCCTTCAAAAGGTTCATTGTTGTTTTCTTCCATCTGATCATTTCCCTGAGCTCTAAATCCCTATCAGTTAACAACAGCTGTAAAAAACTATAACGTGCTCATAACACAAGTTGTATTATTATCACAAACCAAGCTGATAAAACTTTATAACCTATAATCTTTATCTTATTTCAGTTTTATGTTGTGACTGCAGCTTGTTTGGATTTGCGTCAGCTGGAAACATTAGTTTGGTCCAACTGTTGAAAATTTCCAGTTAAAAAAACGTGACGAAGTCTTGATTTTACTTTATCAACAGAAACAGAAACAACCTGACAGAAGAAGCAGAGTTTTTATTACACATTTACACATTTACATGTAACAATAAGTGTTATTGACCTCTCCCCACACCACACTATGTTTCTATTTACAAGTAATTTTACAAACTAGCAGCTCTAACTAAACCTCCTTAAACTCTGCGTGTCAGTAAAACCAAAAACTGTTCATCTAATTATAGTTTTATAGTCATTCCATGGAAAATGTAATATAAAAACATCACAAAATACACAAAATATACTGCGTGTTTTGATCTTTTTCAGTCTGTTAGAACATCTGATTTATACTGTTTTACTATTTTAAAAAAGTCCAAATCCCATTTGTTACAAACACAGTGATCAGTTTAATCTTACAATTCCTACATTAATCTCAGAGTTCTATTTTTAATCTCAGAACTCAGACTTTAATCTCAGAATTCAGACTCTAATCTAAGAATTCCGACTTTAATTTTATAGTTGACTTTAATCTTAGAGTTCTGACTTTAATCTCAGAACTATCACTTTAATCTTAGATTTCCTACATTAATCTCAGAATTCTGACTTTAATCTTAGAATTCAGACATTAACCTCAGAATTCAGACATTAACCTCAGAGTTCTAATTTTAATCTCAGAATTCCAACTGTAATCTCAGAATTCGGACTTTAATTTTAGAGTTCTGATTTTAATCTTAGAGTTGTGACTTTAATCTCGRAATTATGACTTTATTCTTAGAATTCCTACATTAATCTCAGAATTCTGACTTTAATCTCAGAATTCTGATGTTAATCTTAGAGTTCTGACTTCAATCTCAGAATTCAGAGTTTAATCTCAGAGTTCTTATTTTGATCTCAGAATTCCAACTTTAATCTCAGAATTCAGACTTTAGTCTTAGAATTATGATGTTAATCTTAGAGTTCTGACTAATCTCAGAATTCTGACTTTAATCTCAGAATTATGATGTTAATCTTAGAATTCAGACTTTAATCTTAGAATTCGGACTTTAATCTTAGAGTTCTGACTTTAATCTCAGAGTTCCGACTTTAATCTCAGAACTCTGACTTTAATCTTAGAGTACTTATTTAATCTCAGAATTCCAACTTTAACTCAGAATTCGGACTTTAATTTTAGAGTTCTGATTTTAATCTTAGAATTGTAACTTTAATCTCAGAATTCTGACTTTAATCTTAGATTTCAGAAAAAAATAAGAACTTAGGAAATATATACTGTATATATACTTTTTTTCTCTGTGGCCCTGACAGTTTTCTGTAGTCAAGTCAAACTAACAGTCTGTATGGTTTCCTCTTCCTCCAGTTTCAGCTTCTCTGTCTTGTTGTTCAGCGGCGCTGMATCGTTGCTCACTTGCACTTGGTCAAAGAAGTTGAAATCGACCGTGTAGCGCCCACTGATCCCACTGAACAGCACTGGTTTGAACTGGAAGCCCCACAGGATCTCCTGGGGGATGTAGGAGGTGCGGCTCTGACACGTGGCAGCGGTCGACTCCATGGTGGCGTTGAGCGTGACGAGCAGCTCGAAGTCTCGATTTTGCAGAGTTTCTGCGGTCAGGCCCATCAGMGGGCTGTGCTCGTCGATAACGTGGTAGAACGTGAGCGGGAGGATGAGGAAGGGGCAGTCTTCACTGGAGTCCATGTAGAAATCCACGGAGCTCTGCTGGATCTGGGTCTTCTCGCCTTCCTCGGTCACGTTGGCGTGGAACAGCTTTCCTGTCAGCTGGCATTGGATCAGCAGACTTTTCCTCATGTTGGCCACTCTCACCATCAAACACAGCTTCCYTCGGCGCCGACAGATCACGGCCAGCTGGCTAAACTTTATGGTTTCTGCTCGCTTCTTGGGTCGAGCCAGTTTGGCCAGAAACGCCCCCGTGACAAAGATCTCGGCCAGGCCGGTGATGACGAGCTGAGCCACCAGCGTGAAGATGGCCAGAGGACACTCCTCAGAAATGTGACGGAAACCGTAACCAATGGTGGTCTGCGACTCCAGAGAGAACAGGAAGGCTCCGGTGAGTGTCTGAACATTCACCACGCATGGCGTGTGGGTGGAGTTCAGCCCAACCTCGTAGTCTCCGTTCCCCATGCCGATCAGGTAGAAGAAGACCCCGAAGATGAACCAGGTCATGATGAAGGTGGAGGTGAACAGAGTGAGCTTGTAACGCCACTTCATGTCCACCACGGTGGTCCAGATGTCGTGCAGGTACAGCTTGACCATGCCCTCCACGTTGTCGATCTGAACGTTGTTGTGACCATCCTTGGACACGATCCTTCGCTGGACTGTGGACTTCCTGTGGGCCATGTTGCTCCACTTCAACAAAAACCAACGGCGACTCCTGAAGATTTACTCTGGCATTGCAGGTCAACCGGGCTGGCAAAGGAAACAAAAAGAAGAAATTATTTCTACACATTTAAACATAAACAAGGACTCTGCTGACTTCAAGGTCTACCCAATGATCTGCAGTGATAATTTGGTGTAACCTTGGACAGGTGGACAGATCCGTCACATGGAGACAAAYGACTGTTCCCACATGGCAGACAGGTGTGGGTCAGATGGTAAGCTACATAGTTGTGGCTTGGTTTACGGTTTTAAA